ACATCCGCGGTGACTTTGTATGGCGGGCGTGGCGCTTGGTGACAGCGACCTTCACTTTGTGTGGCAGGCATAGCACTTATGGCACTGGGCTGGCTCTGGTGACGCCACGGTCTTTTGTGTGGCAGGCCTGGCACTTGGTGACGTCCACGGTCACTTTGTGTGGAGGCGTGGCACTTGGTGACATCGAGCTTCACTTTGTGTGGCAGGCGTAGTTTTATGTGGCAGGCCTGGCACTTGAAGACATCCACGGTCCTTTGTATGGCAGGCGTGGCGCTTGGTGACATCCACCTTCACTTTGTGCGGCAGGCGTGGCACTTATGGCACTGGGCTGGCTCGTGTGACGCGCTTGGTCGCGGCTGGTCCACTGTGACGCTTGAGTGGCAGGTGTGGCACTTGGTGACATCCACGGTGACTTTGTATGGCGGGCGTTGCGCTTGGTGACGTCGGCAGGTGTCGTATTTGGAAGCATCGACCTCCATTCTGTGTGGCAGGTGTGGCACTTGGTGACATCGACCTTCATTCTGTGTGGCAGGCGTGGCGCTTATGGCACTGGGTTGCCTCTTAGCGTGCTTGGTTCCCCTAGGCGCCACGGCTGTTTGCGTGGCAGACGTGGCGCTCGGTGACATCCACGGTGACTTTGTATGGCGGGCGTGGCACTTGGTGACATCGACCTTCACTTTGTGTGGCAGGCGTGGCACTTATGGCACTGGGCTTGGTTCCCGTTAGCGCCGTGGCTGTTTGTGTGGCAGGCGTGGCATTTGGAAGCATTGACCTCCATTCTGTGTGGCAGGTGTGGCACTTGGCGACATCTGACTTGATAATAAGGAGTTGCCAAGATCGCTCTCTGGTCTTGGCGCAACTGTCTTTGGCCGCACATACCACACAACAATTTCACACACAACTCTTTCACACAACTCTCTCACACACAACTGTCTCACACACAACTCTCTCACACAATCTCTCTTCCACCATCTCCACGCCACTCACGCACACACACACACTTTCTCACACACAACTCTCTCACACACAACTGACCCAACAGCTCTCTCGCACACAGCTCTCTCACACGTACCTCTTTCTCACAATGTATCTTCCACCATTTCTACACAACTCACACACACTTTCTCAGACACACAACTTGCTCACACACAACCTTCTCACAAGCAACTCTCTTACACGCAGCTCTCTCATACGTACCTCTTTCACACAATCTGCCTTCCACCATCTCCACAGAACTCACACATACTTTTTCAAATACATAGTATAAACCTTCTCACACACACAACCTTCTCACACAGAACTCCCTCATTCGATCTGTCTTCAACCATCTCCTTTCTCTTTCCTCACTTTCCCATCCCGTCTTCACCTTTCTTTTGCTACTTATTGGAAGAAGTTGACATGTGGGGTTATCCGGTCCTTTATTTTGGGATGCGTTTTCATGCAGGTTTCATCTGGGTTTATTGGTTTATTTTGCACTTTCTTGCCTTTTTTCCATCAGAACTTCATGAAACCTCCATGAAACCTGCACCTGAACTTATTTTCGAAAATTGATCAGAAATCCAAATCAGTGCTGTTTTTATGCGGGTTTCATGGAGGTTTTATGGAATTTTCTTGCCGTTGTTTCACGGTTTTTTTTCTCCTCAGAAAAAACTCCCTGAACTCTGTATGGGACCTGCACCTAAACAGTTCCTCATTTTCAAAAATTAATCCGGAATCCAATTCTTCGGTTCCGCTTCGCGCAGGTTTCATGGAGTTTTCTTGCCTTTTTGTACCCGCAGAAAACTGCATGAAACCTTCATCAAACCTTCGCCAGACTTTTCCCCATTTCCAAAAATTAATCAGCATTCCGTTTCATTTTTTGGAAGCAACCAACTTTTCTAGAACACCCAAGACACTTTATATATTTCAGAATTTGTTTGCAAAAGAGCCAATTGCCCAAACCCGTCAAACCACCAACCCAAGCCACCACCACATAAGCACACGTTGAATCTGTGACGAGGTGTTGGTATTTTTGGGCTCGCTTGAAGATCAGTGGGTTACAAAACAAGATGCAGCCCACGAACCCAAATGCTCACACGTATGATAATGGCACAGATGTCGGAACACATGGATATGCAGTCACGCAGAACACTTTTCTGAAACAGTTTATTTGATCAGTCTTGTACATGTTTCCCCTGTTACCAAACCAGTGCACCGTAGACTGTGGAATATGGAAGAAGATGGCGTGCTAAGTGTGGAGTGTGGAGTGTAGAGTCTGGAGTGTAAAGTATCGAGTGTAAAGTGTGGACTGAGGAGTGTACAGTGTAAAGTGTGGAATGTGGAGCGTAGAGTGTAAAGTGCAAAGTGTAGAGTGTAAAGTGCAAAGTGTGGAGTGTAAAGTGCAGAGTGTGGAGTGTAAAGTGTGGAGTCTGGAGTGTGGAGTGGAAAGTGTAGAGTGTAGAGTGTGGAGTGCGAAGTGTGGAGTGTAAAGTAAGGAGTGTGGAGTGTAAAGTGTGGAGTGTGGAGTTGAGGAGTGTAAAGTGTGGAGTGTAAAGTCTAGAGTGTAAAGTGTAAAGTGTGGAGTGTAGAGTGTAAAGTGTTGAGTGTAAAGTGTAGAGCGTAAAGTGTAGAGTGTGGAGTATGGAGTATCAAGTGTGGAGTGAGGAGTGCAAAAATTAAAGAGTAAAGTGTGGAGTGTAGAGTGTCTGGAGTGTGGAGTGGAAAGTGTAGAGTGTAAAGTGTAGAGTGTTGAGTGTGGAGTGTAAAGTGTAGAGTGTGGAGTGGAAAGTGTGGAGTGTGGAGTGTGGAGTTTAAAGTAAGGAGTGTGGAGTGTAAAGTGTGGAGTGTGAAGTGTAAAGTGTAGAGTGTGGAGTGTGGAGTGAGGAGTGTGGAGTGTGTAAAGTGTAGAGAGTGGTGGAGTGTGGAGTGTGGTGCGTGGGGTGTGGAGTGTGGGGTGTAAAGTAAGGAGTGTGGAGTGTAGTGTGTGGAGTGTGGAGTGTGCAGTGGGCAAAGTGTAGAGTGTGGAGTGTAGAGTGTGGAGTGTAGAGCGGAGTGTGGAGTGTAAAGTGTGGAGTGGGGGGTGTAGTGTGAAGTGTAGAGTGAGGAGTGTAAAGTGCAGAGTGTGGAGTGTACAGTGTAAAGTGTGGAGTGTAAAGTGTAAAGTGTGGAGTGTGGAGTGTAAAGTGCAGAGTGTGGAGTGTAGAGTGTAAAGTGTAGAGTGTAAAGTGTAGAGTGTGGAGTGTGGAGTGTAAAGTGCGGAGTGTGGAGTGTGCAGTGGGTAAAGTGTAGAGTGGTGGAGTGTGGAGTAAAAAGTGTGGAGTGTAAAGTGTAGAGTGTGGAGTGAGGAGTGTAAAGTGTGGAGTGTGGAGTGTACAGTGTAAAGTGCGGAGTGTAAAGTGTAAAGTGTAGAGTGTGGAGTGTAAAGTGTGGAGTGTGGAGTTTAAAGTGTGGAGTGTAAAGTGTGGGGTGCGGAGTGTAGACTGTAACGTGTGGAGTGCTACCTCAAAATCGATGTTTCGTGCCAGGATTCCGTCAATTTTCATCAGATCTCACAAAATGACACGCCTACCACGGAATTTGCACCTTGTCGCCACTTGACGTAGCCCTGACAATGCGGTTCGCAAAAAAAACACGCAACACGACTTGTCTAAAGTGCTGCGCGTGCCACGCAAAATGAAGATAGACACATCCAAAGTGCTGCGCTTGCCACCAAAACTGCAACGCATCTTCTGAAAACGTCACCAAAGGTATTGCGCCTGCCACACAAAACGACTTTCGACACGTTACAAAACACGTCTGAATGTCACGAAGTGCCACGCTTGCCACGCGAAACAAAGCAACGCCACATGTGAAACCTCCAAAAGTGATCCCTTTTGCAAAACTTACCATAGGCACGGCCATAGCGACCTCGCGCGGACGGACGGTTGCGGACGGTTGCGGACGGTTGCAGACGATTGCGAACGGTTGCGGACAGTTGCGAACATAAACGCAACGTCGAGCGAACACACCCTCAACCCCCAGACCCCCAGAGTGAAACGGGAACCCTTGCTACGCATTCGGGAAAAATGGACATGTTCTCAATGTTCACCAATGCCGACATTTGTTCAATTTAGACGCAACATCACACAAACCAATCAAAACCAAAAAACTCCCACCCTTGGTCAGAAGAGAGTTTGCACTTCTGTGTTTTAACCAAACACCCTTTCGAACAAAAGAGCACTGGTTCTAAGACTTTGATGATAAGTATATGTATGTACCTGCAACTCAAATGTGTGTATATATACACACATATAATGTATAGATGTATATGTGCACATACTTACATTCACTTGCACCATATGTGTAAATATACATGCCCTGATTTATACATGCTGATTGATAACTATATATAATATATTCATATACATGCATCTCTACATAGACACATACTGTAAATATGTATGTAAACAAATATATACATTACATGGCGGAACATGATATGATGTGACATGTTGTTACATTACTTACATTACTTTACGCTACATTGCATTAGATATCTATGAATATGTATGATAGATAGACAGATTAGGTTAGATTAGATTAGATTTAGATTATATAATTATATAGATTCGATTAGATTAGATTAGATTTATATAGATTTAGATTTAGATTTATGTTGGGTTGGATTAGATTAGGTTAGGTAAGGTCAAATTGGATTAAATTCGACTAAATAAAATGAATTTGAATTATATAAATTAAAGTAGATTAGAGTTAGAATAGGACAAGATTTGGGATGATTTAGATTCAGATTAGAGTAGAAAGATTGGTACATAGATACATTGCATAAACATAAATACATTGCATAAGCACATATTTGCACGCATTTACATATAGTACAGTATATGCACATACATTGAGATGCATTGCACTACATTCAATTACAACACATCACACTGCATTACATTTCCGCACACAAACATTAATATGTATCTGTAACCTGTATATAAACACACATCTTTGAAGCTGCGTACAACATGTGTACAGTCTCCACGATGCATCAACATTCTTGTAAAGCATGCTGTGCTTGTCCACTGTTGCTGTAATCTCCAGTTGTTTAGATCCTGCAGTGCCCACTGCGAGCGACGACGGATTTCAGAGATCTTCGCATCAAACCAGCACGCTCCCTCCGCCCTTGTTGCTCGGCGCTTCAGTCTCCGTTGCCTCCACCGAGTGTACGTAGTCCAATTTCGCACAAAAGCAAATCAGGTCAATCAGCAGTCAATGAGCACCAATGAAACTAGATCGACATCAAAAGCATCTTCCATCCGTCTGTGCCTTCTGATTCGGGCTGGCAAGGTTGTATTTCTTGATAAATTGCGTCCTGCTTCAACTGTTCACAGTGCGAAATGCTTAATGAATGCTGGAACTTTCCAGTGAGCCATCCAACACGCCTCTGTTCAGTTTTCTTTTTCAATTGCTCCTGCAACTGATTTACTGCCTGACACAGGCTGCGCGAGAAAGCATGCATTGAGACATAGATACTGCCAAAATACCGCATCTCGCTAAGGCTGAAAATTCAGAGCCTGCTGAATCTTGTCCAAGTTGCCTTCCACTGCAGGTCTTACCTGTGCGCTTGTCTCAAGAAGCAGCAGCAGGAGGAGCAGCAGCAGCTGGACAACACGAACATTTCAAACAAGATGAACAACCTCAACAGCACCAGACTCAAAATCACAAAAATCACTATTGCAATCACAGGCATTGCCACAAAAACAAATATAGGATTGCTTTGCTTGGCAGACTTTGCTATGCAAGCGTGGTCAATGCAAGGCTGGCTGTTGAGATGCCTCTGCAACAGTACGTTCTACAAGGACACCGCCAACCTTGGAAATCTCAACTACTTATGGCAGAATGTTCAAACATTGCAGCTATATCGGGTTAGTCAGGTTCCCACCATGTCCACAAATCTGAGAGGGCAACCATGCGAAAACACCGCCTTGAAGAGTCAACTTTATCAAAGGCCTGCCCCAAGGGCAAAATGCTTACTGAGAGAATCTGAAGTATTTCAAAGATCCATAAGATCACTGACTTTGACGGACCTCCAACATTGGGGGAGGTCCTGGCCTATTGAATGGACTCGCTGGAAGAGCCATTTGTAGAAACACACACATATGTATGTATATATATATATAGAAGATCATAGAAGGCAGTATAGATTTTGGTTTATCTTGATGTACAGCACATGCTTTCACAGCCTTGATGACAAGCGAGTGCTCGTTCAGCTCTTGTTCCAACTCTGCAATCTGCAGGCTTCAGCAATTTCATTGCGAAAAATGCCAAGAAGCGGTTTCACTTCACACAAACCATATGGTGGTTGGATTTGGGCGTGCAAACGAAACATTGGAAAATCAACATCCGCCGAAACAGAGCACTTCCGCTCGTGACATGATACACGTCTCTCCAAGCATGTGTGTGCGATATAATTGTACACATACATCCACATATACACATCCATCTATGTACATCTGCGCAGTCATCTATATTCATCCACATCTCATAGACAGCATCTAAATATGCTTGTACCTACCCAAACACACCGATATATATATATATACCTATGTGTATGCCTAGAGTCTATGTATGCATGCACGATCGATCTGATACCAGGCCACATGATATGTCTTGCTTATATTGCTTGTGGCTTCATATGTAGTTTGTCTGCCTTGTTGATCATCACCGAGCATTCCTTCTCAATCTGCTGGTAGGTGGCCTGAACCTCCGGCCAAGAAAAACCACAGGTATTTCCGGGAGAGTCACTCTGCGAGCAATGCTTAGACATCGAAAGGCGTCACAGAAGATCGAGACAATCTGAGGATTAACATACAGGGTTAATCAGTACACGCAACATACAAGTACATATACACATGTATATACAAAGGCATATGTATACGTATATGTATATGCATATGTAAGTGTAACATATACATATCTGCATATGTATAGGTGCATATTCCACATTTATATGCATTTGTATATATTCATATATTTCGTAATCATAATATAACCATAATATACTATAATTATCTATAATTCCTAATTTGCAGAGATTCAGCACAGGGAAAATGAAGCTGGAGAGGATCCGGCTGAATGCGCACAGGCACAAAACGCCTGCTGCGGAGTCAGCTCTTCCTTTGAGCCTTCGGCCATTCTTCCCTTGTCCGTCTCTCAAGGTCTCTCAAGGTCTCTCTGTCGAGCCACTCATCGGCACTCCGTCCTTTCGTCCTTTCTGGCTTTATGAATCTTTACGATCTATTGCGCGCTTACCTTGTCTACGTATGTCTACATGGTCTACACGGTCTTGAACTCAAAGCACTTCTTCGCACTTCTTGCACTTTCATATTCTGCCCTTCCTATAGTCTCCTGTCTCCTCAACATCAACAATATCATGTGTGCTGAAGTGTCCTGCTGTGACATACTTCCTGCACGAAAGCTGAGCCAGAAATGGCAAGACAATGGCTGGTTGAGAGACTACAAAACATGTTTTTTTACCGTCAGAGATCTTGCTTTCTGTTGCTTTCTTTTGCTTTCGTTTGCTCAGATAACATCGATACGGTTACGATGGGAAGTTTTGCCACATCTTCAGCAGTAAGTCGATAAGACCTCGAATCCAGAACATGCAACCCAGAACCCATAAGGCACTAAGTCAAGGTCCTTGAAAGCCCTCAGTAGCTTCTTGGTGGCAGGAAAACATTTACTTGCCCCAGTTGATGCACGTGATATGACATCTCAAGCAGCTTGAACAGCACAACTCTTTTCAAAGCATCTGCATTCTGCGCGATGTGGGTTTGACATACATAGACACGTGCTTTCAACCTGCAGCCTCTTGTCGCTGGCAACCGTGACTCCTCCGAATTCATGTGAAAGCATTCTAAATGCGAGCAAAGTACAGCACGAGCATGCATGTTGCGCAGTGATATTTACAGTTCGTGTAGTTTGTGTGGTGCTTGCACAGCAACCGACAACAGCAATTCACAACTGCAGCTGTGCCGGGGTTCGGCAGACTCCGCAGACGTTGCTGCGGACTCACTGTGACCTCATCCTGAAACTTGACACCTGAGATGAGCTCTTGGCAACTGAGACCAGAGTAAGGTCCAGCAAAGTGAGCCAGCGTAGACCAGCTTCCATAGAATCAGTTTGAATCAGTTTGAATCACATTCCTAGGACCTTAGGACGCTTAAAAGAAAAAAACTCAGATTCTAAGGTCACTTCTGTTGCCAGTCACTGCAAACTCGACGAAGCAGCAGGGATGGCAAAACGAGTCAACAAAACTGCAACAGCTCACAACTCAAAGTGTACACAAGAGCAACACAAAAGGTTTGCTCAAATCTATCTATCTATCTATATATATATAGTTCAAAATCTAAGACCACAAACCATGGCTACCAGTAACGCAAAGATGTTCACACACTTTTCAGGCAAGTGACCCTGAAGAAGAGGAAGAGGACGAGCTGCTCTTGGCATCAGGAAAAGCGAACATGATTGCTTCAGTGCTGAGTTTCCATGCTTGTCAGCAGGGTGTCAGTCAGTGGCTGTCTCTCTAGTTTTCTATGCAAACACATGCTGTCTACTTGGTACTTAAGTCTGCAGTCTTCTCAATTGCTACATGCATTGGGCGGACAATGCTCATTTCTCTTGTTTTGCTACGGAGATAATATTTATTGTGCACATACATATTATACATACATATAAATATATATATACATAGTATAGATATATTATATATACAGTCAATCTTGTAGCATACTAAGGCTCCAGCTGAGGAGGCTGATGCAGACCCAGCTGATGCAGTTCTTTGAGATTCTGTCCCTGCAGATCCTGCAGATCCTGCAGGTCCTGTTGCTGGCTGAGTTGGTTTTGTTTTTGGCAGACGCTTCGCCTCCATCTTTGGGTCCTCCCAATGGGTAGAATCACTTGAATCGCTCCGGCTGGAGATTCCACTGGAGATTCCAGCACTTCGATGCTTTCTTTGAAGCGTCGTGCTCAGCGTCTCCGAGGCCTGCAACGAACCCTGAACTTGCAACTCAGATGATACTGTACTGAATTCATGTATGACTCATATGACATGCAAAGAAATTCATAGTGCAACATGCAATGATGGTGCAACACACTGTTGGCATGGTCTGCACCTGTTGCTTCTCCGTCATGTCTATGAGTGTTTTTAGCAGGGTTCGGACAGATTGATTTGGAACCTCAACTGTGCACTGTAAGGCTGGTGCCAACCGGCGGGTCTTCGCAGTTGTTTGCAAAGCAATCTAAAGTTGTTTGCCATGCAAAGCAAATCAAAGCAATCTTTATCATGCAATGTTGCACCATATTGCACCATATCGCAAAATCAAAACCAAACCTATGCCATCCTGTGCCTGTATCACAAACCCCCACACATCTTGGTGGCTAAGCCATTGGCCAAGTCTGCATGTGGCAACATCTGACCAGTGACAGGGCTCTTACGAGACCTCATTCGGTGAAATTGTCTGGTTGAGATTGCCCTGAGTCTAAGTTGCTTCCGTCGGGTCGGAGGAGTCTTGTTTTGAAGGATTGTTGTAATCTGTTGCAATCCGTGTTCCCAGAAAAACTAAAAATCTCTAGGCGCTGCACGTTTCAAACCATCGGGCGATGGCAGCCCTTTCGTAAGTATATCCATCTGCGCTGACCTGGTTGCTCCACGTCGTGAGAACCCGAGAGAAGTCGAAGCGTCCAAGCGCAAAGGAATCGTGGAAAATATCAGTTATTTTTCAACCTGGAAGTAAATGTGGAAATCACTTGCGAAACAATCGCTCTCTCAAGTCCTGAAGCCCCCTGCTACCGGATCTGTCATCACGTCATGCGTAATTGGGCCTTGTGAAGGCAGTCAAACAAGCGATGAGCAACTTTGAACATCGACAAGAAACCATCACTGGCTCGGATGAACTGTCGTGTTCATGAAGGAGATGTTCCAAAGAACACGAAGGATTCAGAATACTCTATTTTCAAATGCTTCACGTCAAATCAGGAGGAAGAGAAGGTTTTCCAAATCCAAAAGTTTGCATTAAACCTGCATGAAATGTGTCAACCCGATTTTCTCATTTTTTTCCAAGTGAAGCTGCATAGGAGAAGATGAATAGCATCATCTTAGACTTGATTTCAACATCTGGATGGCGAACTCTGAGTGCTAAGCAGGAACATGAAGCGGCTAAAATAACAGTACCGTAGTACCGGATTAGAGCGAGAGGCTACAGCTCACATCAAACAAAGACATTTACTGTCAGTGCCGGAATTATAGAACGGAAGTTGAGGAGCACGAAGGTACGGTTATTTACCGTACCCTGTTGTTCTATAATTATGTTTTCCTCGGAAGGTGTGAAAAAAAAACGTATCTGAATTTACTCCTAACTTTTTTCGTCGTTCTATAATTCTTGTCGGAGCGCTGCTGTTCTATAATTATGTTTTCCCCCATTTTTCTCACATTTCCCATTTTCGTTCTATAATTAATGTTTCCCGGGCCCCGTTCTATAATTAATGTTTCCCGGGCCCCGTTCTACAATTCTTGTCGGAGCGCTGCTGTTCTATAATTCTGCTTTCCCCCATTTTTCTCACATTTCCCATTTTCGTTCTATAATTCCTGTCGGAGCGCTGCTGTTCTATAATTCTGTTTTCCCCCATTTTTCTCACATTTCCCATTTTCCTTCTACAATTAATGTTTCCCAGGCCCCGTTCTATAATTAAATTTCCCGACTCCGCGCGGAATCGGAACCCGGAGGAGTACAAAGGTACGGTATTTTACCGTACTTTTGTACTCCTGGCTCCGTTCTATAATTCTGGCACCCGCTGTAAACCTCAAGTCTGAATGCGCTGAGCGAATGAACCAAGTGAACGCATTGTCTATCTACAGGTGTCAGAACAGAGGCAAATATGGTGGAAACAGAATGGCTATATGATACTATATGCAGCTCTTGACACAACGGAGCTCTTGACATAACGGACTCAGACCTGAAGGCATGATTTAAAAGTGGCAGATGTTCATAGAACATGCGGGCTACAGCAGAATATTTCCATGACCCTGAGATTACCTGAGTAGGGGGAAATATTGCGAAGCCAGGAAAATCCGGGAAGCCTATTTCATGCGGAAACTGTTGGATATGGGCTGGTTGACGGTGAAGTCGGTGTGGAGCATGGCCAGCAGGGTCGTTGTAGTTGTAAGATGTTGTAAGTGCACCCAACCTGGCGAGCCAAGAAGGGGGTTAAGGGGCACCCCACGCAAAGCGTGGAAAAAGCCGGCTGTGTTTCTTGTGAAGACCAATAAGGTCACGGGGAGTACCCCGTCGTGTGTTGCGGCTGCAGCCGCAACGTAAATGCTGTGTTTGGCAACCGCTACTGCCACGAGAGTGCTGGTCCCAGTGAACTGGGTGTGATGGGGCAGAGCCCACATTGGTATGTTGTATTGTGCAAAGTGATGTATGATGATGTATGGTTTGCGCCAATTGGAGCTGGTCCGTGCCAGTGTTCCGGTGCGGTAGCCGGCGGTTAGCCAGTCTTGCTGGCTGTGCCCAGTCCAGGTTCCCGGCACCACAGAATGGTGGCCACAGTGTTAGCGTGACACTGGGCGGTGCATTAACAGGTAGACACCTTCCGTTTTACCGGCGCTGCCCCGGTCATCTCTGACGCCCACCACTGCGTGTTAGGCAGTGGAGCGGGGTAAGTGGCCTGATGTGGGGGGGATTTGTAGCCAGGTTAATTCCCGCGCGGTCACCCGCGCCCCCCCCCCGGAGGGTGGCCAGCAGGGTCGAGGTTGTGATTCTTTCGCTCAAACGTCCGCTTAGCAGCTTAGAAGGCTTCATGAATCAATCAATTGGCATCCCTTGTCATCGCTGTGCACTTGGCACTTTGTACAGTATCGCTTAGCATCGCTTCACCCTTGTCCAGACTTGTGCATTATCTTGGTATATAGGGTCAAAAAAGCCAAAAACGTCCCACGATTTCTGTCTATTTCCTAGGTGGAGCTTGAGGACTTATGCAGTGGCAAAACAGAAACGTTCATTCTAAAACCACAGGGGACGGTAAGGGACGTTTTTGGCTTGGGCTTCCTTGAAGCAATTAGCTATCCTTCCAACCTTACCAGAGAGACACGCCATACAGTAGGACCTATTTGGACCTATCCAGGATATCAACACCTTCCAGGATAGGCTTCCGAGCAAATGAAGATCGCAAAGGCAGCATCTCCAAGC